AGTTACTATAAACCTCTGCAAATAGATAAAGCTAAATACTGGTGGTTTAATTTAGTTGTCTGCAAAAAAGACATCTTGCTTTATTTCAGCTGAATTTTAAAAAAATCTTTAAGCTAAAAACAACTTATTTACTTTACAGATTTGGCTGAAATTCACTGAAATAAAAAAAGCTGGAACAAAATGCTGATTTTTTTTCTTTGAAATGTCTGAGAGCTATATATTTTAAGATAAGTACATGTTTGTGTGAAGCTATAGAAGCTTCAAGGCATTCATTACAACAGGTCAACACCTTCTCTATGACTCTGCACCATATTTACTGTAAATTCTTCCTTTTCCACTTKGTTTTACACAGATTCAGAGAGGCACTTTGACATTGAGTGCATACCTGCAYGTCAGTTTATCTGGAAATCTATGGGAATAAACTCATCTATAATATAGACCAGAATAAGCTTTCTAGAGGTTTGATTTTATAGTTTGCAATGAGTGCCTTTATTAAAGGGTAAAAAGTAGGTCCTACTTTCAACATAATGTCACAATGACTTAATTGAATAGGTCTGATKTTAGACTAAAGTAGTGACATTAGAAAATGGATATTTAAAGTCTTAAAGCAAACTGGGATAAACTGTAGAAACTATTATTTTCTACACCCATTGCAAAGCTCTGGTCCAGTAATTAGGAGGGAGAAAAAAATAAGTGTGCCGGCCAAATAAYAATCCCTCTTTTATTGTCTTTGTCAGCTCGACACTAACATTAAATAATATCGGAGCAGCAGGATGAGAGTTTTTCCTTCAACCACATTTTATTCTACATGACAACAAGACCAAGTAGTGACAGCAAGCAGACAGGTTTGGGAAGAGTTGCCATTGTTAAGCGGCAGAGTCCATTCACTTCCTGATGGCAGCAGCWGCAGCTGGGTAATGAAAACATGTCCCTTTAAAACCCGCAAAGACGCGAGGCGAAGCGGCAGGACGTCTACTTACAAACACAAAGCTCCACCACGTAGGCGTAATAAGACCAGCAGACGACAAGGGCGATAAAAATCACAGGGATCCACGCTAAACCCCGTTGACAGCATCTTAATACGTGTGAAGGCGCCATCTTTCTCCCTCTGCTGGGGGAACAGGAAATGTGTCTCAGCTCAGGGGCTGGGTCCTCGTGAGTGCGCATTTGTCGGCCGCATACGTCATTTCCTCGCGCGGAGGAGGATTGTCCCACTCCGAAGGCTCCTTTTGGCCGAGGAATGCGTCCTACTTCCTGTCGACATCCGAGGGTGCATCCGTAGCAGCCGAGGATATCCCAGGATTCAATGCGCGGGCAGCAAAWAAATAAACAGAGAAAAGAAGATGGTGGTGTTTTTATTTTTTTAACGTGTCGGCGCAGTTTGGAAATTCACCACGGACTGAAGGATTTGTTTTTTTAAAAGTAAGTTTAGCAACTTANAATTTCCTGTCACTTTGCTGCTGATGCACCTGAATATAACAACAGAGAGACAATAAAGACAATTTACGAGACAATAATTTAAAAAAAGTATTTCAGCATGAAAGCTCTTATTTTCATTGTGTGACCGTGTCTAATAACATAACTACATCTCTGCTTTTTGTAACAAACCAAACCGTGAGAAAAAAATCATGGAGTTGCGATTATTTTAGTTGGARGAACAGCTTTCTCAGTATAAATAAATGCGCTGGGAGCGRCAGAGGTACCCATCCAAGATGGCGGCCGCACTCCGCTCCAATCTTCAGGAAGTGACGTTGTGATGTCAGGGGTCAAAGTTCACAGAAACCTTCCGTACTTCCTTTCCTGTTAGCGGTGGCCATAGAACAGCATCAGTGAGTGATTTTTTCTACAAATCAATCCTCATCCATCGCATCAAATACGTCTTATTTMACAATTTTTATCACAACATATGTACAACAATCATTTCTTTAATCAGTAGTCCACCGTTATTATCTGTATTTATGGTCGATGAAGGCGAAATGAAACGTTTTTGTGTGGGAAAATTTCGCTTCCCTGCGCTGTTTTCAACATGGCTGCTCCCTTAAAGCTAACGTTCAGTGTAGCTGTTAGCTGTTAGTTTCACACGATTCTTTTATAACATTAGGCTTCAAATTAGTCTGTTTTGTTTGTGATATAAATTAACATTTGTTAGAAATGTGCAGAGTTTGTTGGAGCAATATTTATGACTATTGCARTGTTACCTAGCTGGATGCTAACTAMCCGGCTAGTCAGAAAGCTGCAAGACCTAAACTGAAAATATCTGACTTTTAGGGTTTGACTTGTGCAAGGTCGTGTTCAGGACGGGTTATTAATGTTAGGGGGACTAACTGTGGTGTTTTCTGACAGAAATGGGCAAGTTTATGAAGCCTGGAAAGGTGGTGATGGTCCTAGCTGGACGCTACGCCGGACGCAAAGCTGTCATCGTCAAGGTAAAACCAGTCTGTTTATTTCACCATGTTATGGATTCATGAAGCACGCATTGATTTTTATGATTATGGACAACTGGTTTTAGCTGAGGGAAATAAGTTAAACATTGCAGAATTTCTGTTCAGCAGGAAAGAACATGTGGAAGTAGATGTATACACTMCACCTTCAAATTACAGTACATACACAGTGAGTGTAGTTGCCAATATATATAGTATACTATATACACTCGCCATGAAACACAGTAGAAGTTATGTTTTAGATTAATTCTGTGGGTAAATATGGATTATTCTACAGGCGATGCAATAAGTTTTCGATTGTTTTTGTATTTAATTGTTAAATACTAAATCACAAATTACTCTGATCAGCCATTCTCTTTTCTGCTCAGGTGAAAAGGTGCATGTGCTCACTACCTACTGTGCATGCGCCTCACTGTGTATGTATATCCTAGGGCTGTGTGGTATATGCGATAAGACTGCAGAAATTATATGAAATTGACCCTCTACGTCAGTTACCGCATCACACCTGTGTTAGCATGGCTGAGAGTGCAGAGACAACTGAGCAGGAGGAGTTGGAAATATTCTGAAAATAAATGAAGAAATAGCGTTTTAAAACGCGTTTAGAGAGAATTAACCCTCAAAATTCCCCCCTCCCGCTGTAGAAAAGTTACGTCGTGCCGCAGGATAATTTCCTCCCTCTCACTGCACGTCACGCAGAGCGATGCTTTAACAACCGTAGTTTTTAACACCCAAGTTGTCGGAGAAAAAAAATTGTTTTTTTATGTATTGTTACCCACAGAGATGATTAAAAGGGTGTGGACTTTCAGTCCAGGACTCAGGACTCCTTTCAGTCATGAATCCATCTTGCTAATGTAGGGTTGGGCAATATTGCCAAAAAAACGAATCATGATTAATTGTGGTATTTAGCCGATAATTATTAATTTGACAATTTATCCAGTGGAGTCCCTGGACACCCTCATGTCCTAGTCACATGACCAATTTAGTGGGAAAGATTTGTTCTTTGTAAAAATCTGTTCCAAATTGTGTCAAAATCACACAGGCTATACATCAAATTTTAAATTGTGTTGATAGATAAATAAATTACAGACCTTTTTTAAATGTTCATCATATTTGAAGCGGAGAGGAGCAGCGAGCGGACTCTGCCTGGTGGCATTAGTCATATTAATCGTCAAGTGCCAAAAAGTAATCGATTAATGTTTTTCTGATTATTAATTGCACACGATACGATTATGCCCAACCCTATGCTAATGTAACAGTTCTGCTTTGAGAGCAACAGAGCAGCAGCTGATAAGTGATAAGTTCAGCAGGCAGAAGCTTATTGTATGGCAGGCAGATTTTACATTTATTTGGCTTCACATTTACATTCCAGTTATCTGAAATAGTCTTATAACAGGACTATGTGCAGCTGAATCCCCTTAAGGTCCTGTCACACTATAACATTTTAGGCAACTTATGCCKACTTAGAATGTTTTTATGTCAAAATGACTAACTTTACTTGGAAGTCCTGGTTATAACATCCACTTMATTTTAATATTGTTGAAAATTTGAGAAAATTTTTTGCTTGTTAAAACCATTTTGCAATACAGTACAGAACAAATTTGAGGTCATACCGGCCAGCCCTAATACATCCCTTTTCTTAAAGAACATGTCAGTCAGAAACAAATATTCTCCGTGCACTAAAGTTGTGTGTTCTCCTTCAARGAGCCTTTGAGTGTCTTTAAAAGATTTGTTCGAACAGTTGTAAAGACGGCTGTGTTTTCTAGCAGCCTTAGCGCCCATGAAGATGATTGGCTGTAGTCTTCTRCTGCCTCTGTGTGGTGACATGCGGAGCAAATAATCGCTTCCTGTCGCTGGGATTCAGTCTTGCTCTGTAAATTTCACCATCTGTTGCTGGTTCCTTTGCAGAACATCGATGACGGTACGGCCGACCGTCCTTACAGCCACGCTCTGGTCGCAGGCATCGACCGCTACCCCCGTAAGGTGACCACCTCCATGGGCAAGAAGAAGATCGCCAAGAGGTCCAAGATCAAGYCTTTTGTCAAGGTTTTCAACTACAACCACCTCATGCCCACCAGGTCAGTCGCTCATCCACTCTTCAGGAAGTTTTGGTCACATTTTATAAACTTTGTATAACTCTTAAGAGCTTTGATTCCATCTGTGAAACAATTAAAATGCAAGATGTGGTTATTGCGTCTTTGCTGCTGGTGATGGAGATAAAGTTATGAGCTGCTTCAGAGCAGTGGGGTCCAAACATTTTGTCACGTGGGCCAAAATCATAAAGC